CTCACACACACACACACACACACACTCACACAGACACACACACACAGACACTCACTCACTCACGCACACAGACACACACAGACAGACAGACACACACAGACAGATAGACACACACAGACACACACTCACTCACTCACACACACACAGACACACACAGACTCACACACACACAGACACTCACTCACTCACGCACACAGACAGATAGACACACACACAGACACTCCACATTCCTGTGCAGTCTCACACACACCTGTGCACACTCACACACACGCGCTCACACACACGCGCTCACACACGCTCACGCTCACACACCCACGCTCACACACACACACGTGCTCACACACACACGCGCTCACACACACACACACTCACACACACGCACACAGACACACTCACACACACGCACACAGACTCACACACACAGACACACACACAGACACACATAGACTCACACAGACTCACATACACATACACACACACAGAAACATACACACACTCACACACACGCTCACTCACACAGAAACACACACACACAGTCCACCCACACACACACACACAGTACACACTCACGCTCACACACACACGCTCACACACACAAGCTCACACACACACACACTAATATAAACAGATGATTTTCTGTATGTCTCAGTGTCTCTGACAGTCATTTCAGCCGCATGCAGCACATCATTCATTCATGTGGGTTCATTGTGCTGAGATCGACTAGACTAGAGCGTGGAGGTCCACATGTGAATGACCTGAACCCGTGTGTGTGTGTGTGTGTGTGTGTGTAGGCTGGTGAATCAATTAGTGGCGTCTGTTGCTATGGCGCAGAGAGCACTCCGTTCATAATCACTTAAAAGCTGTCACTCATCTTAGTTCATCGCGATCTCACAAAGATACGTTATTATCATTAAAGTTCTCTATGCTGCACAACAAATCTCTTATTTACATTGCATCAACACTTTGTTATAATGAGATGATTCCTGCTGAACACAATACCAGAACAAAACCTCCGGCGATTTCAGCGGTGATTGGATTCTAACTTAAACGCCTCTGATTCAAGAAATCAACAGATATGTCTGTGATTGGCTACACTGCTCAGCACTGCAAAAACACATTGACATAGAAATCCATCTCCATGCGTGTGTGTGTGTCTGTGTGTGTGTGTGTGTGTGTGTGTAGGCTGGTGAATCAGAGGCTGCTGCAGGGTCAGTCTCAGGTGGAGGAGCTGCAGAAGTCTCTTCAGGAACACGGATCCAAAGCAGAAGATGTGAGTCCAACAGTTCAGCACATCAGTAGAAATACAGTAGTGGTGCTGTTGATCTGAATGTGAGGAGGCCGTGAGTACGAGATCACAGCTCATCTCTGCAGTTCAGAAAGACAAACTCGTATCCACATACACTGTCTGACCAGATATAGATTATTTCCACTCTGCCAACACAATAATTACTCAAGAGGCCAAAGCATCCTGTGCAGAAACATCCAGAGTTAAAGTGTCCTAATGAAGCGTCTCGATCATCCAGAGCTGCAGCAGATCTTCTGAACGTCTCACCGTTTACAGGCCTGTCTGTTTGTCCACACGTGACCGACGAGTGTGATCGTCTGTTCTTCATCAGCCCGTCTCACTGATCAGATCTGGGCCTTTCACACAGGACACACGTTCACATGATCTGACACGCACATCACCGTCATGTTAACGTTCAGCTTTAGCGTGTCCTGTGCTCGTTCTCTCTGCATGTTGTGTGTTCCTCCAGCGGGATGTTTGTCGAATGCTCTCATCTTTGCTCCTCCGCGCTAACGCTCTGCTGCGTGTCCTTCCTAACCTGTTTGTGTGATGCACTCATGATGTAGCATGATCCAGGTGTGCCATCAGTCGTCCAGACGCCTTCATCATCATCAGAAGCACACGCGTGTGTCCGTTACTTTAGTCTGAGCGTCATCCGTCTGTGTGTGGTTGGTAACAGGCTCTGCTCTCTTCTGTCTGTGCATCGAATCTCTCTCCGTCTGCTGTGAGTACGGTCAGGCATCATGCAGCTCTGTGATCGCATGCGCCGCTCAAAGCACACGCGTGTGTCACGGCTACTGCTGCTGCTGGCTCTCTGTGAGCTGATGAAGCAGAGCATGGGAGAACACTGGACGTGTTTCTGCTGGCTTTACTGTTGAATGCTGAGTGAAGACGATCCGGATCTGATGTGTGTTTGAATCCTCCTGCATCCTCAAACACTCCTGAGTTTGATTGTCAATCACTGAACATCTTTGAATGGACGTGTTACTTTTTTATTTTCATTGATTTAGTTTTGCTCACTGGAAGCAGAACATTATCATTTATTTTTAGGAGTCCAGTTTGATCTTTATACTCAGTATTTTTAATAAATGACGGCTGGGTTCAAAAGATTCAAAAACAGATAGAATAATGAGGTTTAATCTGAGTAAAGTTATATTGACCATATTGTCCTCTAGAGGTGTTTAAATTAATTATATCTACAGTAGACTAGACAGCAGGTTATCTAAACAACTAGTCAGCTGTTTAAGGCTGGTTTAGGTTTGTGTTTGACAGACATGCATGTTTATTTCTCAAATCAGCCGTCATAAAACTACATACATCTGGAAGATTGTGCACACAAAAACATCCACTAGTCAGCTGGGTCATTACAGTTAACTAAACCTAAAAACATTGTTACTTTAAATAAAATAAACATGAACTGAAATAAAATATTTAAAACAATTATTTCCACTAGTTTCCAAAGCAACATTTATCGTCTTAATTTAGTTTAACTTGATGTACTAAAATAAAAAACTATGGACAAAAACTACTAAAAATGACAAGAACATTTTTAGTAAAATTACTAAAGAAAATAAGAAAAAAAACCTCAAAACTCTATTAATATCTCAGCTGTACTGAAGGAACAGTGGTGTCTGATCACATTCATATCTCTATTCCTGTGGTGTTTATGGGAATCATTAGACTGTTTATTCATGTATTTGCTCTGCTGTTGGTTGTTGATTTGTGTTAGTGTGTGATTGTGCGTGAGTTCTTCAGCGTCCTCTGCTGGACACTAACACCAGCCCTCTCCAGCTCCCTCAGAAGTGCACACTGTGTAGGGCGGTTGTGTTCCGCTGGAGTCCAGCAGGAGGCGCTGCAGTGCTTCACATGAGCATTAATGAGTGTGTTTGCTGGATGAACTTTAACATCTCTGCTTCTTCTGCTGCTGCAGACGGTGATCATGAAGAGGAAGTGTCAGGAACACCTGTGAGTATCAGCAGGAAGTCACAGAGACTCAGTTCAGCGAGAATGACTGTTTGAGAGTGTGACTGTTCGAGAGTGTGACTGTTCTCGCTCTGTAGGGAGAAATTAATGGACGCCACTAACGAGCTTCAGAAGAAGAGTGCAGCGATCGAAGAGCTGGAGAACAAACACTCTTCCAGTGGTGAGACTCACTGATGATCATACATGGAAACGTGTGTGTGTGTGTGCGCGCAGACTGTGGTTAAACGAGAGCTTGTTGATTGGTTTCAGATCAGAGGATTGAAGAGCTGGAGGACGCGCTGAAGAAGAAGGATGAAGATATGAAACAGATGGAGGAGAGATACAAGAAATACCTGGAGAAAGCCAAGAGTGTACGTCTCACACACTCTTCTCCCTGCTTCCTGTGTGTGTGTGTGTGTGTG